ACAATTTAACAGTCAGCACCTAATATAACAGCGAGGCCGCCGAAGGCGGTCGAGCAAATGGGAACACCCCAAAAAATAACCCTAACTTAAGGCCAGAAAAGGGCGATCGCAGCGCCTCTAGCGTGCTAATGTATTCTCTATGGGAAAACTTGAAAAACGCGGTGTAGAAATACTCGCTCAATTTTGAAGGTAGAATTATGTTCTTGGTATCAAAATGTTGTTGACGATTAGGCCGAGGGCTGCTCGGATTTTGTTTTTTGAATTAGGTTTTTAACTTTTTTATATTTGATTGGGAAAGTGAGAAAATGACAAAAAACTCGATTTTGTCGCATTCAACACCAAATATCTAAAAAATAAAAGCCTAATTAAAAAAACAAAATCCGAGCAGCCCTCGGCCTAATCGTTAGCAACATTTTGATACCAAGAACATAATTTTATCTTTAAAATTGAGCGAGCATTTCTACACCGCGTTTTTCAAATTTTCCCATAGAGAATACATTAGCACGCTAGAGGCGCTGCGATCGTCCTTGTCTGGCCTTAACAAAACAGCGAGGCCGCCGAAGGCGACCGAGCAAAAGGGAACGCCCCAACAATAATCCACTCTTTTACTCGTTTGTTCGGCTGCAAATGATTTCAGCAGTAGAACAATTGAGTTTCAGGTTCATGTTGAAGAATGCCAATTGGTTCAGTCCCGTTTGGCAGTTTCGATGTTAACTGAAGCTAAAGTTATTGTTGGGGGTACTTTCGATTGTTTTAGGTTAAGGCTATAATTGGTTCCCTTTGGCTCGGCCGCCTTCGGCGGCCTCGCTGTTATGTTAGGTTAGGGTTATCGTTGAGGTGTTCCCATTTGCTCGGCGGCCTCGCTGTTATTTTAGGTTAGGGTTACTGTTAGGATGTTCCCTTTGGTTCGACCGCCTTCGGCGTCCTCGCTGTTTTGTTAGGTTATCGTTGAGGTGTTTCCATTTGCTCGGTTGCCTTCGGCGGCTTTACTGTTATGTTTTTTCTTGTCGCCGCTAGACGGCACTGAGCGGTATGTTGTCAGCAGCTTGCCCCCTCTCTGGCAGCTCTGCTCTCACCAATCTCACAAGGATAGTTTGTTATCATCTCGTGTGTGTGTGTTGGTGTGTGCGTTCAGCACTCTGTACTTGTCAGTGGTAATCTCTCCAGTGAAGCAGATCGCGTGTATTGCTCACTAGTCAACTATTGACGCACATCATGGCAGGATACTGAAACCTGCTTCCTTCAAGTTGATCACTGCTCTTTGCTTTTTCAACGCATACCAACTCTCGAGGCATCATCAGCTGATGCCCAAGAATGTCAACAATTTTTTGCAGCTGTTGTTTTTCCTATCACTAAGCCCACCAGCGCCCTTTTTGTGCATTTATGCAAGTCCTCTGGTTGATTTGTATTTTTACATTGTCTCCAGCTCAACTTTAAGCATGTTGGCTTCACCATGGAGAAGTTTGTACATCCTACTCCTCGTCCTCTTCAGTTGTCTTTCACTAGGCAACAGTTTGCAAGTGGATGGAATCTGGAGTCCTTCAGTAAGCTCTCTGAAGGTGAGTTTTGTGAACTATAGATTCTTGTGGCACCTCTAAAAGTGAAACAGATTAATTTTAATTATTTTCTTTTCCTTTAGGTGATTGCAAGGTTCGCTGTAGGCAAAACAAACCCTAACCATCATGAAGATACTGATGGCTACGTTTTCGGCAACTTAACCACCATCAGCCATCTGAATACAAACAAATCTGACAGTGGACGTAACCTAGACAATCCGTATGGCAATGCAGTCATGCTTTACATCAATCGGACGCTTTTCAAGCAAGTCTACAACATGCATTTAGAGGAAACGAAAAATAGGCACAGTTCCTTCTGTAAACGAGTTTACGAATTGGTGCACAATCAATTCTACGATTCCAAGTGCAGCCTTGGTAACAGATCAACTACTACTGCTGCTTCTACTGATTTTGTCCGGTACATGCCTTGTCCTAAAGACAAACCCTGCAATGAGCCTTCTCGAGTGCCCGTCCTTCCCAATTATCAGTTTACTTATGTGGTTGATAATCCTAAAGAGCCAACGTAAGTGCACCTGTAGTGCTTCGAGTAACTGTTATTTAATTGTCATTTTCTTTCTTTTAGCTTTTGGTTTTTAGTTTTGCTTGCTTGCCAAAGAAAAATTAGTCAAGATGTCCACACCAACTCAAGTCAGAGCAAGTGTACCTGGACAGCCAGCGCCAACACGAAGTCAGTCATCAGCTACTCAATCTGGCTCGTCAACGGTCACCCAAACAGTGCCACCAATAAACTGATTGACCTCGACTACCAGTTTTCAGTCGAACAGACGAATCTGTTCGTCTACATAATCCTCAACTTTAGCTACCTAATTCTCCTCTTCGTTCAGCTTTACGCCTTGTCAAAGCAAAAGAATCGCAGTCTCAACTATCTATTCACAATATCACTTGCACTACACTGCTTAGCTTACTTCTTCATCTGCTGTCACAAAATCGTCTTTGCCCACAATGGAAAAGGCTTCGAGACACTGAACACCGTTGCTGACATCATAAAGATAATGTCTACTGCCTTATTTATTCTTTTTGTGCTGATGATCGCTAAAGGCTGGCCCATCAGCAAATTGGAAATGTTTTCCAAAACAATGCTCCTCACCATTTGGGCGGCTTACACCCTTATCAAAATTTTGCTGTACATCTGGGTCAAAGATTCGCTGAATTACATCGAGGAAGTCGACGAATATCACACTTGGCCCGGCTGGATAAGTCTTGGCTTTCGAATGCTGCTGATGTTTTGGTTCCTTCACGAGCTTCGCCATACGATGATACTTGAACAGGATCCGCGCAAGCTGAAGTTTTACCTTCACTTTGGAGCGGGCATTCTGGTCTGGTTTATTCATTTGGTTCTGGTTGCTATGGTGTGCATTCAAATTGATCTGCTCTGGCGTTATAAGATAATCACAGGTTTGTTAACCTGCCAATCACCTGGGTGGAGAAATTCGAGTCGTGACTAATAGATTTGCCGTTTTGTATTGCATTTTAGGTTTCTCCGCTGCGGCCGACATCTTTGCCTACGCCATTGTCACTCGACTGATGCTCCAGACGCGGCACAATCTCTTCCTGTCACACGAGTCAGATATTGACTTTAACGATGACCTCGACTATTACGACGATCACTCTACCAACAGTGAGACCTACACCTTCACCAAAGCCAACTATCGAACGGGGAAGCACTCGTACGATAACGACATTAGTTGTGATATCAACGCAATCAAGTCTTAATGTTGCCACCACAAATGCCTAGTATTTTTTCAGTTTTTTAACCCTGTACCAGAGGTACTAAGGTTGTTGCTGTTAGTGTAACTTATTTTATCCTTATTATTTTACTGCTAATGCACTCTTTCTTAACACAGTATTTCCTAAATATCATACACACATTGTTAACTGTTAGCTGTTGTAATAATAAAACATTGTACAAATTAGGGTGCTGGGGGTAATTTGAGTGGTTTTGGCGGTCAGTTGGGTGTTGGCCCGTTTCTTCGCTGCTCGTACTCGAGCATGCACTGACGAAGAGAGCTTACCAGGTTTTGGCACTTTCGCCAGTCGCGGTGTTCGTACATGCACTCCTGCAAAAGATAAAGTTGTAGGTGAGCAAATTGCAAATACAAAAAGAAGAAATGCACTCAATTCGCTTGTAGTACTACTACCTGAAGGGAGAAGTGCACTTCTTTGCAGCCCGTCCGGTCAAGCATCTCTTCTAGCGGATCCTTTTCTTCGCCATTAGAAGCAATCGGGGTTGCTTCTTTTTTGGAGGAAGCAGTCAAATTGACATTGGCAGTCGTTTTCTCCATGCTTCAATTCGGGTTTAGATGTACGAGACCTGCTGATGTTTTGCTCTGAAGCACATTGCAGGCAAAACATCGCCAAAACGTGGTCTGCGCAGGAGAAGGCGCAGCGTGTGTCAGCTGATTGTCAAAGTGCCGATGTGTTTTGAGGCTGCTCTTGCAAAACATCGCCACTTTCACTTGTGAAAATGTCCATTGGATTTGAATCATCTTCGGCCATCGCCGACAGTCCACCGCTGATCTACGGTCTGGACAGCGAGTGCCGCTCACTCTGTGCTCAGTACAATGAGAATCTGCCCACCAGATTCTTCGTGGGCACGCAATCCCTGGAGTCGTCGGGCAACCAGGTGCACTTGTTGGAGTATGTTGAAGAAAATGATTCACTGTCAAAGGCAGTCTTCAAGCACAAGGTTGGAGAGATCTGGCACCTGATCTCACCGAGTAAACAGCCGAATCAACTCATTTCCTGCTACTCATCCCACCGCAATATGAACAAAGTGGAGAACCACTGTGCAATATGGCGCATTCCAATAGACACGTCAGTCAATCTTGACGAATCAGATGATGCACAGATGCTTTCTGATTTGATCAATATTGCTGACTTTAACAAGGACGGGCTGGGAGCCGATGAGCAGCTGGGAAAAGTGGCTCGACTAAAGCCGGACGAGGAGAATGAGCTCATATTGCTGATGGAGACAAAGTTGGTGCATTTAGACCTTGAAACGAAGAAACCGGTGGCCTTCATCAGCAGTGAGGGTCTGAGCAAGAACGTCAACCGCCTTACAAAACTGAGCACATTCAGCTGGAGTCCACACTTCAATGGCAATGTCATCTGTCTGGTATCAAACAATAATATTTACTCAAAGGACCTCCGATCATCAACCACCAGTTCCTGGAGCATTCCACAGGCACACAGTCAGACCGTACGAGATATTGACTTTAACCCGAACTCGCAGTTCTACATTGCAAGCTGTGGTGATGACTGTGAAGTGAAGTTTTGGGACATCCGCAATACCTCTAAGCCGGCTTTGAAGATGCTGCACCACTCGCATTGGCTTTGGTCAGTGCGCTACAATTCATTCCACGATCATCTGGTGCTAACCTCGAGCAGTGACGGAAACGTGAACCTTCTGAGAGCGTCCACCATTGCCTCTCAACCTTACGGCCACCTAATTGAAGATGAACTTGATGAGGAGGACACGACGATAAAAAATATGCTTGCCTCCAAAGAAAAGCAAAGCGACGGGCTGATTTTAAAGTTTAAAGACCACGAAGATAGTGTCTACGCTACTGAGTGGTCTCCCAATGACCCGTGGATTTTTGCCTCACTCAGCTACGATGGACGTTTCATCATCAACAAAGTTCCAGAAAGCGAAAAGCTGTCGATTCTCGGTTAAATTAAACTTATGTATTATTTCTGTATTCAGTGTTTCCATGGAGACTGTGTGTTTTGGTGTACCAGAGCGGATCAAAAGCCAGTACTGAACTTCCCCAACTGATGAAGATGGACCGATTCGCCACATCCATGGTCTCTTTTTTGACCTGTTCTTATGCGGCTTTTTTATGCCTAGTAGAGCTGATGCTCTTTGCGTATAAAGGCGTCTATTTGGCTGATAGAACCTGGGTTTACGTGCTTGAAATCGTTCTTTTTCTCACCTTAATTGCCAGTGAATTTTGCCTTCAAGCAGTCAAATCAACAAAAGAACCTCTGGTGTTTGTGCTGTATCTTCTAAGCACATTTCTGGTAACCTATTTCATCTTTTGGCAGCAGTATGTTCTCTTTATAGAACTCGTCTTCACCTCAGTGTTCCTCCTACTAAAGTTGGCCATGTCAGTTGGCTTGACTGTGGACTTTTTCCTTTTTGGCAAAAACTGAAAACTGCCACTGGACTCCACGTGTGCAAATAGCACTGCTAAAAGTGCAATTGCCAGCTGATTTGTGCCGGCAAAAGAATAACACCGCAAGAAAACATGTCTGATTTACGTGTCAATGTGCTGAAAAATGATCAAGACCCCGAGGAAACCCATTTGAAGATACTTTTCAATTGGAACCATGACTCTACTGAAAGGTTATTTGAGTTTAAAAGAGATAAAAATGAGCTGCTTGGCGATTGTGCTAAGCGAATGAAGATCAACTTTGAAAAGGCATTTTCCAAAGGAAAGCCAAAGAAAAGAAAACACCCGAATGAAGAAAGTACTGCAAAGCAAATTGAGTTCACCTTCTTTCACCAGAAGGAAGCTGTTAAACCGGAAACAAAAAATAGAGATTTCTGGTTAGATGGTATGATTTTTCTCGTTTTTTTTGTTGACATTTTCACTCACAAAGTTTGTTTTTCAGGATCTGAAATGCATTTAAAGGTCGGCAATGATGAAAACGATGTCGAAGATGTAATCTACACAGTTTACACAAATCTACCGACCATTCAGCAACTGAAGATACCCAACACTATTCTTACCGGGTTCTCGATTTACCCAACAGTGGAAATTAGCAACGGCACTATTGTTCAAAGCAAGTTTACCTGGCTCAAAAGTAATGAGAAAAATGACAGCGCTGTATGGGAAAAAGTAGGTAGCAATTTCACTTATGATGTTGCTGAGGAAGACATCGGCTGTCATTTGAAGGTGATTTGTGAACCAGGTGATGGAAAAGGTATCGGACTAAGCAAAGAGGCAGTGTCTACTAAACCAATAACTGCTGGACCGAAGAATTGCCCATTTGAGATTCGAAACACCTTCACTCAGTCTGCAGTTCCCAGCGACCAGATTCGCATTGTTTCTTACAACCTCTTAGCCGACTTTTACGCTGATTCAGCGTACTCACAAGAAAGTCTATTTCCTTATTGCAAGCCACGATTCCTTGCTTTTGATTATCGGTTTGTATTGCCAGTCAATCTTCTGTTCCACTATTAATCGCTTTTTTTCTTTTGCAGAAAGCTTCTAATTTTAAAAGAACTTTGTGGCTACAATGCCGATCTCATTCTTCTTCAAGAAGTAGATGAAAGTTTCATCAACGGAGGAATCGGTCCAATTTTCGACACTTTGGGTTACGATTCTACGTTTCTCAGCAAAGAGAAACTAAAGGAAGGACTAGCCATTCTTTACCGTCGCTCAAAGTTTTCCTGTCTCATGAACGAGACACACACCTTTTCCAATCTTCTTCTTAGTTGCGATCTTTTTACCGAGGTGAAGAGCAAGGTTGAAACTAACGAGCTACTGCTCAGTCGAATTTCAAAACTGAAAAACAGCCTACAAGTTCTTTTGCTGAGAGTGGCTCCTGAAGACTCAAATCGTCTTCTTCTAGTTGCTAACTTGCACCTCTACTCAAAAGATGATGCCGATCATATTCGCTTGATTCAGTCGTATCTGTGCTTCAAGTACATTGAAAAAATGCTTGCCAAACTTGGTGAGGAGTATCCGCTTCACACCATTTCATTTGTGCTTGCAGGAGACTGGAATTCAACGCCTGAATTCGGTGTTGTTAGACTAGTGAACGAGAAAAAAGTGGACTCGTCGCTGGAAGACTTTCGAATAAGTACGCTGCTGTAAACCTTCCACTTATAATGAAGCTTAAACTTATTTTCTTAATTCCTAGATAAAGCAGAACTGATCGACGACCTCGTTCTTTTGCATTCACTCGACATGTCCAGCGCCTGTGGTTTTCCAGAGTACACCAACTACACGCAAAACTTTACTGGCTGCCTTGACTACATCTTCCACGACAGAGCCAACTTGAAGGTAGTGGAGGTGGTGCCAATGCCAAAACACGAAGAGATCATCAAGGAGACTGCCATACCAAGTGAAACAGTGCCATCAGACCATCTCGCACTGGTGTGCACTGTTCAGTGGTGTTAGCACGCTTTTGGTTTTGTTATGCAATTATATCACATGCTTTTTAATTGGTCAACGTTATACAAAGATGGAAAACTCCAATTTTTTTTATTGCTGCTCAGTTTGTTTTACTCGACTTTTGCGCCCCCAATTTCATTGGGCCTTTCTTCATCAGGTTCGAGTTGGCTGCTGTGTTTCCTGTTCTGTTTTTCTCAATGGCGCGAGCTGCTGCTGGTTTCCGCACAGCAGGCTCTTGGAACAGTTGTTCATCATTGCCAAAGTTACCAGCTTTATCATCTGTTTTTGAGTTGACCTCCGTAGACTGCCAGTCTGAGTTCCAATCGTCCATTAGGAGATCATCGTCCCAAGAGTTTGCAGTGTTTTTCTCTTTGATTGGTGCAAACTTTGTAGTTTTGCTTGTCGTACTGGGTTTGTCATCTTCAAACTTGAGCTCCCCCAGTTCATTAGTAATGTCATCATCATTGTCCCAGCCATCGTCGTCGGCCCAGCCATCAGCAGTCTGACTGTCCAAGTCACTAGCAAAGCTCTTAGTATCCGCAGAAGTGCCGCCTAGAGCCGTCTTTGGTGGTCCATCATAATGGCTGATGCTTTTTGGTTGATTATTACTGCTGGTAGCGGCTACCCTGCTCGCTGCACTCGTTGCTGGTAGATTTCCGATTTTGTTACTGTTGGAACTGGTGGCACTGTCTTGCGTTTCATCTCGTGTCCTCGTCAATTTGGCTGCAATTGAACTAACTGCCCAGCTGAGACCACTGGTCAGCTTGGCGGAAACATTTGAGCCTGATTGGTTGATTTCGCTCTCTGAAAAGTGCAAAATATTGTTAGGCAACGCGTAATCTCACAGACTCTGTCGAAACATACCCATCTCTTTAATTAAGGTCGGGTCTTCCGAGAACTTTTCCATCTTTGCGATCAGGCTTTTGAGTGAGGTAAACACATGATCGCGTACCTGCTTTTCAGGGTCCATTAGTATGGTGCAGAGGACGGGCATTATCTTTGATGTACAGTCCTGAAGGGTGAAAAAGTTCTGCGTCGCACTGAGCGAGAGGATGCCGGCAATTCGGGAGGGCGGGAAGGGATCACGAAGAGAGCGAATGAACGCCGGCAGCATCATGTTCTGACGTGTCTGGGGCTGCAGGTGGCCGGCAATTTTGCCGAGACAAACAATGGTGTTCGTGCGAATGCCTCCTTCGGGATCTTTAAACTGAATCCGGGCAAAGTGCTTTATTACTTCTTCATTGAGGTTTTGACTATTCAGTTTTGGCGCCATGTAGTAGATGCTCTGTCATCAAAAATTGGTGGTGAGAAACGAAAGATATTTTTGCCGTATAAATTGTAAAAGTAGTACCTTGACAGTCTGCTCTCGGATGATGGGATTAGAGTCGAGGAAACCTTGCACCAGATTGGGAAAAATTTGATCGTTGATTAGATTAGCTGGGATGAATTCAGCATATGTTTCCATCTGTGAACAGAGTTAGCATGATTTTCATGATCAGTTTTAATTTTAAATAATTTTAATTTAGTGTTACCTCTTTGAGAAGCTTTGAGCGAATAGATCGATCTTTAGATGAAAAGAGCTTTATGATACAGGGAACCATCTTCTTCTGGTACTCTGTTTCCGGTAATACTTTTCCAATTTTGAAAAGCAGCTCCAAAACATTAGTGCTTGCTTCACCATACTCAAGTGAAGAGATGATCAGCGGAAGGATTTTGTTTGTACACACATCACTGGGAAAGCTGTCAATACGATTGTTGAGGTTGCTGAAGAAACGATTCTTCTCGACAGAATCCTTTATTTGAATTTCCTCCAGAAAAACCATCGATTCAATGAAAACATTTTTAAAGTAGCCATTTGGCTGCTGAGCTTTTGTAACAAAGTCTTGAATGCTGCTTCGTGAGCGAATGTTGGCTGAAATTAATGACATGTACTGAGGACCAATCTTTTTGGGAATTTTGCCTAAGCTTCGGAGCTTTTCCTGGTCTGCTAGAAAACCATTGTATATTTCCCAGATTAGGCAGCCAAAACCCCAACTGTCGACATTTCTAAATAAAAAAAATGATTTTTAAAAACATCAACAAATGCATTTTTACACACTTACTTATGAAGCTTTCGATTAGCATCAGACAACTCAGGTGGAGTGTACTTTTTATGATTATAGTAAGTCTTGTATGGAAATGAATCGTCGACATGTGAAAGGTATTCAAAGTTAGATATTTTCCAGTCGCCTGCATTGTTGACAAATATAGAGGGCAAACCAAGATTTCCGTGAATAAGACTGCTGCTGTTGAGAAAGCAAAGTCCTTTGGAAACGGCTAAAACGCCCCAACTTATAGCGAATTCTCTTTGCTGCGTAGTTAGTCCGCTTTGATTTTCTAGATGAGCATGCAACGGTTCAACGCATTCAGTCACAACCAGGAGGTATTTTTCAGTTTCAAGAGAATCAAAGTACGTTAGAATGGAAGGATGCCTTAATGTTTTCAGCCGCTTGATGGCATTTTTAGCCGCCTCCAAGTAGGACTCTTCATTTGGCTTAAACTCGTACCGAAAGACGGACACTGTCTCACCAGTTGCCTGTACGAAAGATAGCGAATAGAGAATACGAAAATACACACAAATTCACAACAGTACACTTACCTTCTTCTTGCCTTTATGCAGCGTCCAAAAGGTGCCTTCCAAGTGCTGGGCTGCATCATTCACCTCGAATGCGAAATCCTTTGACGGATCACGTGAGAAGAGCGACCACATTTGCCGTCGAGTTTGAAGCAGAGTAAACACGTATTAATAGATAGATAAATTGGCGATGAAGACAACACTACAATGAAAGGGAGCAGTCACCAAGAAGTAGTCGCTGGCAATGGTAATAATTTGCAGACGCACAACTTGTCACACAACAGATGATGATGATGATGGTGATGATGCTCACTCGACGTGTTTTGCTGTGCCCGGTGCTGTGCAGGTTCGCAGACACCGTACAGCTGGCCACTGTTCGGTCATCTGCTCGATCACTTCACTCACTCACCCACCACCACTACCACCACCACCACCACCATCGACTGCCATCAACAGCTCATTTGACGTCCACTCAAACAGCCCAGCCCAAACAGCTCAGCACAATGCACCCCAATGTGCCACTGGTTCTACGCCTCTTGGCGTCTTCCCATTCGATATCGCAGAAGGCAGGCTCTATTATTAGAGACATTATGCACAGTGGACAGCTAAACATTGTTGATAAGGTATTTTTCTTGTTCCGGCGTGTCTTTGAGGATGTCTGCGATAAATCATTTGTATATGTACACTTAGGGCTTCAATGACTTGCAAACTGAGGCGGATCGAAGCTCGCAGAGGTGTATCATCCGATCGCTGATGAATCAGTTTCCCAAAGTGTCCATCATCGGTGAAGAGGTCAGTTTATTTGTACGTTTAAAAGTTTTTCTATAACTTTTATTGTTATTTCAGAATTTAGAGAAAAAAGATTACGACGTCCCAAGTGATTGGATTGTTGATCGACTTGAAGAATCAGTTCTGTCACACCGTTGCCCAGATGAGCTTCAAAATGTGCAAGATGAAGATGTGGTGGTTTGGGTAGATCCTCTGGATGGCACCTCTGAATTCACTCAAGGACTGTTGGATCATGTCACTATTCTTATTGGTCTTTCCGTCAAAGGAAAAGCCATAGGCGGTGTCATTCATCAACCCTTTTTCAACCACAATGTATAGTTTGCGTATAATTCTGTTCTGATCTGTTTCACTAATTATGTTTTTGTTTTAAATAGAAAGCTGAAGAGCAGTCCAATCTAGGGAGAACCATATGGGGATTGATGGGCCTGGGAGCATTCGGCGTTCAAAAGGTTTCCCCGCCAGTTGGCAAACTGATCGTCACTACCACAAGGTCACACAGTAATGATCTTATCAACAAATCAGTTGAGGCATTATCGCCTGACTCGGTACTTCGGGTTGGCGGCGCCGGCAACAAGGTGCTTCAGGTGATCGAAGGCAAAGCTCATGTTTACGCGTTTGCCAGTCGGGGATGTAAAAAATGGGACACCTGTGCACCGGAGGGTATTCTTCACGCCCTTGGCGGGCAACTAACGGACATTCTTGGAAATTCGCTTACGTACATCAAAAACGAAAACTTCACCAACGAGCTAGGCGTTCTGGCGTCTCATTCGGCGGCTAATCACCTTGAGTACCAGTCAAAAATCCCGGCTGAAGTGAAGGAGCGTCTGTTTGCAAAATCTCAATCATGTTTCTGAAGTAAAAATCCCAAAAATTGTCCCTTTTAGAACTAAAATAAATGCTTATCATGTGCTGCAAATTCTACATAAAACAGAATTTCTTTTAGTCTCGCTAGGACGTCATCTGTGAACAGCCCCACAGCCTGCAAGGGCAAAATCACAACACAACTCGACAACCCAGAAAATCGTCCAGTTTCTCGGATCTGTTGTCGGTGTCTCCTCTTCTGGTCCCTTTTGCTTACATCCAACGCTGAACTGATCAACAAAATGATCCACAACGCTCGCGCTCTGGGACTGTCGCAGTACGTGAAGGCGGCCACCCAATCGGTCGGAGGCCGCTCCGCTGCAGCCTCTTTTCCCTCGCTAAAGCGTGATGAGTGGTACAAACGCGAGGAAACCCTACCTCCGGTGATTCCAGCTTTCGCCAACGACATCCAACTGAACAAGCTAGTCCTTGGCCAGGCGAAGAGAGTCCTCAATTTGAAAGGCCAGCTTTTCAACAACAAGAGCCAATCTATCACTGGAATTGGAGGTACGCTATTCTGTTGTAACTTTCTATTTGCTGAACTACTACATTTCTTTTCAATTTGATTTTAGTGGGACACCAGTACCGTCTTGCTCACACCGATCTCCGAATCCCCGACTTTTCAGACTACCGCCGTAGTTCGAACAAGGACCTCACTAAGCCTAACAAGGATACTATTGATGAGCGCCGTGCTTACGTCTATCTCTGCACCGCTGGTGTTAGCGTTGGCGGTGCGGTTACCGCTAAGGCCTTTGTGCAAGGACTTGTCACCATGTTGTCGCCTGCTCGTGACTGTTTGGCTTTGAGTAAGGTCGAAGTTAGCATTGCCGGCATTCCCGAAGGCAAAAATGTCACTGTCAAGTGGCGTGGTAAGTGACCATGTGACTGGATATTACCAGTGATCGAAGCTAAACATTGTTTTACTTTTAGGCAAACCCGTTTTTATTCGCCGCCGTACTGCTAAGGAAATCGCCATCGAGCGAGCTGTTGATTTGAAGGAATTGCGCGACCCTGAAGCCGACGAAAAGCGCGCTCCAACTGGAGAGTGGCTCATTGTTGTTGGAATCTGCACTCACCTCGGCTGCGTGCCCATTCCCGGAAAGGGAGATTTTGGCGGCTACTACTGTCCCTGCCACGGCAGTCACTACGACGCCTCTGGTCGCATCCGCAAGGGCCCAGCTCCATTGAACCTGGAAGTTCCGGCCTACGAGTTAACTGGTGATACTCTCGTTATTGGATAGATTTAGTGACAATTATTATTCTTATTTTATCTGTAAGAAACACCTCTCGCTGTACAATTCTTGAAATTATATTTAAAGTAATTAAAACAAATGCTTTTTCCATCTTAGAATCACAAAAATTCAGGGTGTTATCAAGATTTTTGTTATTATCGGTAACACACTTTACGTGTGGCATTTTTTAAAAGACAGAAGCCCGGCCCACAAACAATGATTCATTCTCGAGTTTTTTATTTTGCATTTTCTCGGTTGCCTTTGACAACAACGGCGTCTAGTCTTGCCGAACAATCAGAACTGCTCAACACTTCTTTAATCCTAGTCATTTTGTGCGCATTTACACCACCTGGGACCAGAAGATATGGAGGACAGTGTTCTCTCGTGCACCCGCCTGGATAGATCGGCTCTAAAGTCGCAACGACTGCGAAACCCGTTTTTACTGAAGATTGACCCGAGGTCGCTGGGAAGCGCTGACAACTACGAGAATGGCATCGAGTTAAATGTTGTTTGCGAGTGTTCCTTTTGGATGTTTTCATTCTGGGCGGTCAACATTAACAACTTTCACCAAAAGTTAGCCTTAGGCTGGGATGAGCTGAAAAATCAGTTGATTGATGGCAAGTTTATTGAAAATTCGGCCTTGTTCTCAAACGATCCTGAACTGTAAGTGTTTTTCAGTGTAGCTAATTATCCTAATAATCTGCTGTAACAGGTACAAGGACGAATACAACAAGATCACCCACAAGATTCCAAGTCCGAAGGATCTAGATCGTAGCTTGTTTGGAGCAAACAATCGAGATCGATATCCGCTGGTTGTTATGCTCGCCTTGAATGATAAAGAAATTGAAGATCAAGTGGAAATTAACGATATTGTAAAGACAGCCGCATCATTTTTTATATCAGACACCAACTAACCTGCATTTTCCTTCTTTAGGTTCTTCTAGTGTCGATTATTCATTTGAAAGACAACGTCATTCCTTTGGAGACGTCCATCATTGCTCAGTACATTAAGCGCAAATCAGGCGTAGTACTGAACCTGCAGGACTTGTACATTTCAATTGACAACGGCGACAACTTGCCGTACTGTGTCATTTGTCAAGAAGAGTACATCACCCGAGCTTTGCTGCCCTGTCGCCATGCCTGTGTTTGCTCTGAATGCTTTCAGCGCATCGATCTCTGTCCACTGTGTCGTTCAAGCATTCAGAACTTTATTCCCTTCAATCAGCCGAACTCCACTCAAGCGACAAACCAGCAGAACAACTCCGAAACAGCTGTCGAAGAATCGGCGCCTGGTGGGAACAATTCAGAGAACAAGGGATTCTTTTCTCGAGTGGCAAATTTGTTTAAATTTTAAACAACATTCAGAGTTTGTCTTTGACAATTTTATATTAATTAACAAAACATATATACTCGGAGCAAAAAAAAACGTAAAAAGAAGGTTAAACCTGACACCATTACTTGAGGTGCCGCTTGCTCGGCGGTATCAAGTGCGCGGGCAGCTCACTGGGCACCTCTTGTGGGTTGTTCAGTTTAGTTGCCACTAGGTACATTGCCAAAAGAAACTCTTCTTCATCTAACATGTTATCACGGTCAATATCGGAGAGGCCCCAGATTCGCGTCAGTACTTTAGCTGGAAGGTTCGACTTGAGCATCTGTGCCTTGGCTTTCGTTGCTATCAGGAGAGCAATAAGATACAACCAGTTAGTAGCTGTCTTTTGTGTGTAATCGAAACGTCACTAGCTGCTTTACATACCGGTAACCTTATTTTGTTCGTCGTCTTTCAGTTCATTGAATAGCGCTTCGTACTGATGTCGATACCGATTGACTATCCAGGACTTGCTCGGCTCTAGTGAGCCTTCGTCAAAGGCTTCTCCCTTTTCGTATCCAAAGGGAGAAGCCTCTTCAAGTCGGAAGATTGCCTGTGTCCGCTCTGCTGTTATCCTATTGTTGAAATTGTATTGTTTTACGTTATCTGAAGAAGCTTATGTTCCCCCCTTCCCTAAAAGCATCTCACCTGGTGACAATCAGTGGTATGTCTACGTTGACGAATGATTCCTTCTGCGCCGCCAAGTGGTGACTGTGCTTCTTCAGCTGCCGCCAGTCGATGCTGAGAAGGGTTTCGGTGAGCTTACCTACCTCTGGAAAGTCACTTCGATTAAAGTTGTGCTGCTTTTGAATGGCATCAAAGAGCTTTGGAAGTCGTTTGATGAGTCGCCTTTTGGCCTTCTTCTGCGCTATGAATCGCAGCAGTGCCCGGTTGTACTTTTCTCGCAATAGTGAGACGATGCACGCGTGAATGGCTACTTCTCTGGCTCGCTTTACGAGGTAATTTGCTTTGCGGAGTAGACTCTCCTTGGTCAGGTTTCTCAGGTCCTCGAAGATGCGAAACTGCTCAAATTCATACAGTTTCCGGTGGGCGACGTTCGCCACCGGTTGACCCCAGAAGGAGCCAATGTAAATCTGAATAACCTCCTTCAGTTCAAGAGTTTGTCCTGTGAAAGGAGAAATTAAAGAAAAAAACGCAACTGTAAAACACAAGTGACTTACCGAGAAACCACATCAGAGCGCCGTAAATTCGAATAAGCTCCTGTTCGCTGATTAGATCAGTCTTATTGAGGACAATTCGTAGCTTATCATCATAGGCACGAATCATCTGCACGATTTGCTGAAAGTCACCCGACAGCTCAAGCTTATGAGCGTCGACAAACAGAAAGATACGATCGGACCTTGCGGCGAACCACTCAATGACGCCTTTGTAGTCGTAGGCGTCGTTGCTGCAGTTGTCGCTCAGAATGCCCGGCGTGTCAATGAGCGTAAACGACCTGAGGGCCGGCGAGTCCACCTGTGAGGCCTGGAAGCGGTTGAGAAATTTGCCGCCAAACTTGATCAGTGGTCGAAAGGGCTTGCTGGAGTCTAGCACCAGAGCATTTCCGGGAATGATGTTCGACTCTTCGCTGTGCATCACCGCCACAAACTTGTCAGTGGTCGGCTCAGGACCGATTCGGATTCCTGGGTAGTCCCTCTCGATCAAATACCGCACAAAGGTCGATTTGCCCGATGAGTACTGGCCGATGAGGAGAATCATCGGCTTCGCTCCAAAGTAGGCGTCGTCGATTGGCTCAGTGTAGAAGGTTCCGAACCTGGTGTGATCTTCATAAGGGCGCAGTTTTGACTGATAAGACTGACGGAGATCTGTAGTTGAAGGTTGAAAAGAGAAGAAAAAACACATTAAAATCGTCGGTGATTGCGGATCACCAACACAGACACTACCTTCCGCCACTGAGGGATTGTGTTCAACATTTTTCAGATACTCAAGCAGTGTCTTCTTGTCGACGAATCGCGGAACTTCTGAGTAGAGGTCATTTGGAATGAGTCCGTTACTGGTCGGGGTTTCAGTCGATGTCAGTTTTTGGTCAGCCATTTCTGTTCATATCGCTGTCTGGATGCGGAAAGCTGACAGTTCAACTTTCATCAAAGCATCACTTTCTGAACCCTTTCTGTACACTGTGTCTCTCAGAGTGATGCCAAGCACTGTGGCCGTCGCCGTCGTTGTCGTCAAGTTCGGCAGCTGACGTCCCGAAAGAATCCTGCACTGATATGAAAGAGAGTGGAAGAAGGAGAGAAAGAGTGAAAGAGTGAGAGTCGAAAAGTTGGCACAGATGAGGACGATTGTGGCTGGTGCAGTCCTGGCGCCGATTAGCTCTACTTTTCGCTAGCAAACACTTTGCACAGCGTGAACAGCGGCACACAGTCTAAGCTGGGCGCCTGGTGCAATTTCAACCGTCAGCAGTAGTTGCCGTACTCGATGTGCCACTTTGGTAGTAGCAAAAGACTCTGGTGCACGGACGCAGTCGGACGACACTGTACAGTGTGTGCTGCTTTGTGACAGTGATTGCTGATTGCGAAGAAGAAGAAGAAGAAGTGCAGTGCTGAAGAAGCAACAGGACAATCGGCAAGCTCGCCGGCTGAAAACAAAGGCTCTGCTGAGCGCTCACTTGTTGCTCTCTCTCGTGGTCAGCACATGTGTGAGCACAAGTGATAAGGCCTGAACTGACTGCTATCACTCATGGCGATTCTATTTGGCATCCGGGAAAATGTTCCTCCTCGCTGCTCGAAATGCCGCTTTCTCTTACCCCGTTTGATTTGCCCTTAGATCGAGGCTCGATTTGGCAATTTCCCCCATGTTTTTCATTATCGACAGCTGTGAGTGAACATTAATTGCCCACTTGATAAGGTAGAGGAGCCTGTACACTGAGCCCTGTCGCTCTACACAGCTCACCGCTGTCACTGGTTACATCTCATTTCGAAGAATGGCAGCAGCAGGCGGCACTGGTGGAGACTGCTGCCAGACTGTACCAGCAGCAGCACCAGCACAGGCAGCGTCCAGTGGATGTGCTCCAGATCGTCGTCAATGTCGATCACTGAACGACATCTCCACACAGAGAGACAAACAGAGAGAACGACACAGCTGAGTGTGGTTAGCAGCGAGCCTGTGACAAGTGTCCATTCAGCAGTTCAGCAGCTCTGCCCTCGCCGTCTGCCTGCGTGTGCCATAATCGCTGCATCGGTAGATAACAACTGGCGGCAAGTGATTGTGCGAGGCCAGCACTCTCCTTCTCTCTCTCTCTCTTGCTTCTCTCCAGCACTCGTTCCTCCAAGTGCTCGTTTTGCCGTTGCACGACTTGCCGGAAATACCAGAAAGTGAACAGTGACTGCAGTGATGCTTAATGAAGATGAATCGTACTTTATTGGAATTTCATTAGCCACGGAGACAGACGGCGGCGGTAATGCATTGACGATAGTTGACAGTGGTGATGGAGTTACAACAATTGGAGGATGGCCAGCGACAGTGCTGGGGCACTGCACTGAGAGAATCAAGGACAAAGTAAAGTGAGGCGGGTTGCTGGAGATTGACATTGACGAGCACAAGTCGTCGTCGTCTGGCGCCCCTCAATCAGCGCTGCCACTCGTCGACGGTCCAGCAGTGGCTGTGCCCATTTCCTTCTTCTGCTTCCACATTTTGGCGGCTTCCAAAAACTTGAGATGAGGCTGTGCTTCCTTGTCGGGGAAGATGTAATCAAAGTACTCCTCCCAGCCAGCATCTGAGCCATCGTCTGTTTTGATCTTTCTGCGCTTCTTCACCTTCTTTGGCATCTGCTTTCTCACTGCGGCCAGTGACTTCTCGTCACCCTGCTCAACCTCAAACTCTAGCCACGCTTCCAGTAGCATCAGTCGAGATTCCTTTTCAACGCAGTCCTTCAGCGCCTTGTTTGCTCGCTCAAACACACTGCGCGCTTGTTGAATGCCAAACTGCGCGTCCTCTTTGTTGGCGATCAGCTCGAAACGAGCGAAACTGATCCAAACCTTGACGTGTTCGGTTCGCTCCAGCAGTCTTTCATAGAGCAATCGCGCCTTGTCAAAGTTTTCTAGTTCAATTTCAAAGTCAATATATGCTTTCCAGATAAGTTCAGGCATGTCCAATCGTGGCTGGTCAATGGCAATTTCGAAAATGGACCTGCCTCGCTCCACTTCGCCGAGAATATTTTCCAGCTCGGCGAACTTCATCCAGGCCATGCAGTTTTGTGGCGCATACTCGAGATACTTTTGGTAGATGATGCGGCACCGATCGAATTCTCGTAATTGAATTTCAAATTCAATGTACTCTTTGAAAAGTTTCTCCTTGGGGCAAAGGCCAATGGCAGTGCCGAATAACTTTCGAGCTGCAGTGAGATTTTTCTGGCGTACTTCAAATTTTGCCGCCATGACCCAGAGTTTCGCGAAAGTGAAGCTCTTGTGAGGGATCAGTTTCAGCATGAAATTGTAAACTTCACGCGTTCGGTCATAATCTTTAGTAGTGAGCTCCTCAAAAACGGCGTAGTAGACCCAAAGATAGATGTATCGTCTCCAAAGGCGCTTTTCTTTTCCCAGCGGCACGTTTGAAACAGCCCGCTCGTACACATCACGTGTCTTATCAATGTCGCCTTCATTTTCCATTAGACGAATGTAGTCGAACCATACGTCATAGTCATGAGAATTGGCTTTCAGTTCACTCTCGTATTTGGCTTTTCGCTTGCTGAAAATGACATCTTCAATCTCAAAGCGATTGCCGTGTTTCTTTTCGTAGAGTGAATACTGTTTGAAGAGCTCCTGGCGATCCTCGACGCTCAACTTCTCCAAAGCGTACTTGTAGATGACGCGGACTCTGTCATATTCATGCTGATTCTCTTCAAACTTAGCAAATGACATAAAGAGTCGCTCATCAAGGTGGTCGTCGCCAAAAAATTCAATAGCTTTTTCATACACATCTCGTGCGTTTTCAATAAAGCCATGCTGCTCTTCAAAATGGGCGAATTTGATCCAATTCCTGACTTCGGGATGAACAGTGACAAATCGCGAGTAGATTGCTCTGGCTCGGTCAATTTCATCGTATCTCAGTTCAAATTTAATGTAAGTGAACCAAGCCTGTTCATTAGGTTCCCAGTCCATCCACCGCTCAAACACCTGACGACAGCCGGGAATGTTGTTGAGCATCTCTTCCATGTAGATGTACTTGTACCAAAATTGGTTAACTCGTGGCAATATGAGCACTGCCCTGTCGAGTACATTTCTGGCGTGATTGATCTGTCGATTCCGCATCTCCATCTGCGAATACTTGAGCCATATTTTGATATTTCTGTAGTCGACGTCAAGTGCACGCTCATAGATGGACCGAGCGCGTTGAATCTCCTGTTGACTTTCCTCCCACTTGGCGTATTTGACCCAGTTGGCGAATGAGGTTCGGCTCTTTCGGATGCCATCTTCAAATGCTTTTCGCTTTCGCAGTTGATAGTCAGCAAGTTCATCGGGATCGGATATCTTTTGCTTCGGTGGTGGTGCGACAATTTCCAGCTCACGCTCTTTAGCTTCACGGAGCAACTGTTCAGCGGTGATTTGCACCTCTGCGGGTGCTTTGTTTTTCACCTTTGTCTTTGCAGCTTTTCCCTTGTTCATTTTGAAGCGGTAGTATCAGACGACAGGTGATATAAAAATTAGGTGATGTAATCAGGAATCACAAAGCAAAACAAAAAACAGTTGTGCGAAAAAATCTGAAGCCGGATAAAATGCGAGGGGCTTTCGCAGAAGACGTATCTAAACACCATCTCTGTAAAGTGAGGCGTTGTATTGATCTTGGAAAGTGAACTGTCAAAATACTCGGTGGTTTCTGTTTGTGATCATCTCAAGTGATTCGCCAACGACTTCAAATTGAGAAAAAATGGTATGAATTAATTGAAATCTTAATGTTTATATATAACAAGCATTCCACGTGCAGATTCGCTTTATTTTAATCCAAAACCGAGCTGGCAAAACTCGCCTCGCCAAATGGTACATGAACTTTGACGACGATGAGAAGCAAAAGCTGATTGAAGAAGTTCACGCCGTGGTTACGGTACGAGATGCAAAGCACACTAATTTTGTGGAGGTTTGTTTTCATTCAGCTTTATCTTTAACACATGCTAAGAGTTTGTTTTTGACGTTTTACAGTTCCGTAACTTCAAAATTGTCTATCGGCGTTATGCAGGTCTTTATTTTTGCATCTGCGTCGATGTGAGCGACAATAATCTTGTCTACCTTGAAGCAATTCATAATTTTGTCGAAGTTTTAAACGAGTACTTTCACAATGTTTGTGAGCTCGATTTGGTGTTCAATTTTTACAAGGTAATTAAAGCTTTTTGCTCATTTTTGATCTATCTATTCATTATTCTTATGTTCTTGCAGGTTTACTCGGTAGTTGATGAGATGTTTCTCGCCGGCGAGATACGAGAGACCAGCCAAACAAAGGTTTTAAAGCAGTTGCTAGTCTACAACTCATTAGAGTAAAAATTGAGAACTTCGACGCCAACTTTTAGACCATTCTACAACAAGCCACTTTTTCCCAAGTACATTCGAGTGCTTCATCGTCCTTTCACTTCCACTACTTTGCTTGCAATAAAATCATGGATTGATTAATTTATTGTGTTTGCTCTAATGATTCTGTATTATAATTTCGAGCGTAGGTGTTATTTTTAATAATGATTATATAATAAATAATCCTCGCACTTCCTTAATCCAAACCAACTGTCATGGCCTCAAAGTGGGGCGCTCAAATGCAATTATGTCGATTATATAGAACACTTCCACCTTTAGAGTGCAGTAGGGTTCACATCAACTTCTATATACTCAGCACCGGGTCATACATGCGCTGAGTTGGACTGGAAGGCAATCAGCCAGGGTACGTTGTGTTTTGGGTGATTGACAATCGTCGCAGTTGCTGGTCTCCACTGGTGCCAAAGCAACCACTGAAAAATGAGCCACATTCTCTATGTCTTTGTACTTTATGTAGTTTTCAACTTTTCCGCCGATGCTCGGCTGCCACATCGACTTAAGCGTGAGGCAGCTGCCCATGGAATGCTCCAGTCGACGCCTGGTCCCTCGAATCGAGGCGGCAACCCCTATGGAGGCATCGAGGCAAAGTTTCAGGTAAACAAGAACTCTATCATTCGGACCCATGACTCCCGGTCCCTTGGGGCGAAGTACATCAATGAGACCGATTTGTCGTCTAATGAAGAGTGCCTGAGGTGGTGCTGGAACACTACCAACTGTAATTTGGCCGTTTTTGAGGAGAAGGTAAGTCAAAGAATGCAATTTATACACACAGTAGTTCTCTAACAGCTTCATTATCCACCAGACACGCGGCAGCTGTTATCTCTTTGACTGCGGTCCACTGGACGACTTTAAGTGTCGATTCACTGGTCACAACTTTTACAGTAGCTCAGTTCTTCAGGTAAATCGCAACTCATACTTCCTCAATGAGTGGAAATCACAGGCGAATCAGGAGAACGAACTGACCGGACTCAAAAGTGACCAGCCTACAAAAGTATCAGCCGAGAAAGCGGTTGGACAGCTCAAGAGTGCTAAGGAGTCGCTGACGACGACTGCAGCCACTAAAGGTACAGTGGAAAGTGCTCCCTTTGACTTACAAGCACTACAACTTACCCTTTTCTCCACACAGTTTCCCGGTGTCGTCATTACCAATTTGAGTGCCGCACGAATAACAGTGAGTGCATTGCTATCTACAATGTCTGCGATGGTATACCTCAGGTTCGTTTGATTTCGGCTTTGATTACTGCCGGCTCTTCTTTAAGTGCAGTATCATTCAAAATACCCTCTTTTGTCTCTACTTTGGCGGATAGTGTTCCGATGGTTCCGATGAAGCGGTGGAGTTGGAGTGCCACAAGTCTCGCCTAAACTCAGCGAAGCCAGCTTCAGCAGCAGCAGCCGAGCAGAGGGGCAGTGAAACGCCGACGAAGCCGTCAGTGGCTGGTCCGCTCGGTGCAAAGGCCGCCGTCTCCGGGCAGGTGGTCTCCAACCCGTACGGCAGCACTGCCTTCTCCACGGCGAACAAGGCATCAACCGATCTGACGCAGTCGAATGATCCCAGCAAGCTACTGGCCAGCTACGGACAGCCCTCCGGCTATCTCAACTACAACTACCCTCGCTCGCCGAATGACAAAATTCTAGAGGACAACCTGCTGTACCCGAACCGAGTGCCCCTCGGCGCCGACTACAGTGCGCCCGGCGGCGGCGGCGGC